AAACCAACGAGCTGAAATCACAGTAAATTGTCATCTATTTTTTTATTTTTTTGATTTATTATTTCTAAATATATGTCTATATAATACGAAGGCTGCCATAAGAGCACTAGAAACATGTACAAACAATCATCTGCCTCTTGAAATAAAAACCGATAGTCAGTACTTGATCAAAGGTAATCATCTAAAATGAAGATCAACAAGAAGTTTATTGTCATATAACGTTTATTTAATGTTCTTAGCATACCAAAGTTGGATAAAAAAATGGGAATCAAACGACTGGAAAACTACCTCAAAAAAGAAAGAGGTTGAAAATAAAGAATTGTTTCAACGGTTGTTAATGTTAATTAGGAGTCGGGAGGGAAAAGTGAAAATTGTGTGTAATCATTTTTCGAATCTAGAATTTTTAATTCATTTCTTTTGCATCTAAATTTTTACTTCATTTTTTCTATTGATATTCCATATTAACTCTGACATAGACATATGTGCCAGGACATGCAGGAATAGAAGGAAACGAAGCAGCCGATCGATTAGCGAATGCTGGAGCAGTACTTGATGTCAATACCAGTGATGATAATGACATTATTAATAATATTATTTCAAAAGAAAGCAATAATGAAGAAGATGAGGAAATTGCTCGTACCGAAGAACAGTTTAACCGATCTCTTGATTCATCCATTGCATCGATTCCTTCGCCTCCCGGCATCACTGCTTCCGATCAGTTCCAAACTGACGATATTTATCCACAGCAAAAAATTTCAGAAGAATATATAAATTTGTTGATGGAAAATAACTTGTTGTCTAAAGAACAACTCGAGATATTAAGGAATAGTAACAATCAATGAATTATTTCCTTTAACTATAAACAGTTTAATGATATCTTTTTATTTATTGATAATGTTTTTTCTATTTAAGAAAAAAAGATTAGCAAACATAAAAATATAAAATATCAAATTTACAAAATATCAGATTTTACTTAATCATTCCTTTCAAAGACAATATGATGCTAGCTAAATATCTGACAAGGTATTTAAGTTAATTTAATTTAATTACGACGAACTTGAGTACGGTGTTGTTCGCGAGACCGTTCTTGTGCTATTATAATAAAGTAATAAATGTAAACATGCAACAAAAGAAATAATGAAAATATAGATATCAACAAAAAAAACTTACGATTATACTGTAACAACTTTTCAATCAAGTCAGAGTGTGTTAAGATCATACGGCGACAACAGTACCGTTTTAAACCAACAATGTTCATTGCTTCACTAATAAGTAATTTAAATCAATTATATATAACGAATGTTCATTTTTATTGTGACGGCACAAGTATAAAAGCGCAATAAAAAGCGAAAAAGTGAATGGGATGAACGAATAGTTGAATTCAATCTTTTCATTTAGATCTAAATCACCTACTTGTCAGTATAATCATTAGCCAACAAGTCTTGATATTCTTGCCATTTATTGCCAATTACTTTTCCACACGAGAAACAGCGAACTGGAATGATCATTTTGATATTTTTTTTTAAGCTAACTCAAAACGATGCAGAATATTTATCCTCAATGTTAACCTAGACTCCAGTTTCGATTCCTATTTTAGACAGGGGTAATCGATTAATCTTAACCCGTTATGGA